ACACACGCCTGTGATTAACATCCAACAAGTTATGTTTGTGATCTTTTTTCACCCCCCTCACTGGATTCACCCAGGTGCATTTGAATAATACACACGATAACTTGTTGTGGCCAGGGAATTTCATTTCCAGTATCTCGTCCACGTATCCAAAAACACTAGTCTATGAATTGTCATAACTACAAGTCAACACACTCACACCACTGTTCATTGTGGGTTTATTGTCTCCGTAAGCCCGTGTATGGTATTTGTAGTCATTGACAAAATATATCGACCAACACCTCACAGGTGTTTCGGGACCCCATGCTAATGACTCCAGAAAAGGATCAACTGAAGAATTTGCAGCTTCACGGAGTAGCTGCAAATGTCATTTACTTCTTGAGTAATGAATATTATAAAATGTAAACTTGCAACTAAAAAAACTTATTGATTTATCGTAGATTTGAACTATCCTGCAAATTCAGTGTCGATCATCACATTGATCACCGTATTGGAATAACCAGATAGAGAAAGCATTTCTCTATAATCACTACATTTTTATAAGACACTGAAATGGTTAGTGTTTGTTAGTATGGACAATAACTGATTATTGATGTTTGTTAATATTGACTTACTTGTAATACGGAATAACTTCCGGGCATTTCATCAAAATGTAAGTTTGTGCAATTCGAAACTCGTCTCCGACAACACGACGGTGTGTCTTTCTACCATATCCCTTGCCCGGATAGTTGAAGATGGAAACCATTTGATCATACAATGCTGAATCAACATCATTATTTGTAACAGGCCTTTTTCGTCTAGTCATGATATCTCTTTCAAAATAGAAGGAAGAGAATGTGGAAACTTCTTCTGTGAGGTATGCTTGGCATATAGATGCTCCAACGTGTGCTTTATTCGTCACCTTCTTTTTAAGCTCTCACAAAAATCTAAAAAAATGCATGAAACCATATATATACTAGATGCATAAAAAATGTACTACAATATTAATAAATTATTTTATATTAATAACTACAATATATGAAACCATATACAAAGTGCATAATAATTTTACCTCTCAAATCCGTACATCCATCTATACCAAGTCGGCCCTACGGTCATTGCTTCAAATGGAAGATGGACAAGTAAATGCTCCATTCCATCGAAAAATGATGGAGGAAAAATCTTTTCCAAATTGCACAATATAGTGGGAACATTACGGTGAAGATCTTGAATTGCCTGTATGTCTAGCACCGGTGAGCATATTAACTGAAATAATTGACAAACATCACAAATAGACGCCCACACATTATCCTGGATGCAATTGGAAGGAGGCGCTGCATCATCACATGACAATCACGACTCTTCATAGGCTTCATCGCCAAATTCTCTAAGTCAACACACCTAGAAAAGTTAGAAGTGTATCCATCAGGGAATCGTAGCTGGATGAGCCACTCCAATATGCATTTCTTCTTCTCGTTCGTGAGCTGATAAACTGCTTTCTTGAATGGACCAACATAGTCAGGGCCCATAGCAATTTCCGGTCTATCACAAAACAAAGCTACATCTTTCTTTGATGAAAGGTCATCCTTAGCCTTTCCCTTGAAGTTCATAACCGTGTTAAAAATGTTCTCGAAAACATTTTTCTCAATATGCATTACATCCAAGTTATGCCTAATGAGATGATCCATCCAATATGGCAATTCCCAGAAAATGCTTTTCTTTGTCCACTTATGATAAATTCGATATCCATCTGGATAGTCAAGAGCAGGGCCGTTCCGGTCAATTTTCGGGCCTATGGGCGAGATACAATCTTGGGCCTAAATTTATAAGACAAACATAGATTGTAATAAAACTACCGAGAAATTGAATAAAGGTAAAAAAATATAGACGAAATACACTTTAATGATATTTAAATAACATGTTTGATGAAAAGTCACAAGTATCACATAAAAAGAAAAAACATTACTTAAAAACATTTCTTGCCAAACATTGTGAAGCAAAATCATCAATAATTGCTTCCTAATCAACCTTTTCCAATACCTCATGTTCAATGCTTAAAATTGCTAATCTATTCAGCCTTTCTTGAGACATAGTTGATCGCAAAAAATTCTTCAGAATATTCAACTTTGAAAAACTTCTCTCCGCTATGGCAACGCTCACAGGTTCCCCCAATATACCGGATCATAAATATCAAAAGAAACATGACCCCCCACTAATTTATTCTCTTCACCTATTGGCTCAGTTTCAACATTTGCGGCTTCTTCACCAATATCATTATTCCCAGGTGTGTTATGATTTTCATTCGCAGAAGTATTTACCTGAGATTCAACTTGAGAAAAACTTTCAGGATTCAACTTCTTAACAACAACATATTTTTCCATTGCACCCTTTTGACTTAAGGCTGCCTTTTCTAATCTTTGCCTCTTTCTCTCTTTATCCCAACCAGATTCACCCATTTTATCAAACACTGAAGCACCTTCACAATCATACAAAACAATAAAAGAATTCAAAACTGCATAATAGACTAAATAGGCAATAGCACACAAATATCAATTTAACAAGAGAATAAAAATGCATCATATAACAAAAACATTCTTTTATATACAAATTGCAATTGCAAATTTGCAAGGATAAATCATAAATCATTAATCATAAATCAAAAGAAATTTTAATAGAAGCATCATTTATAACTAATAGATTGAGATTAATTTACTAACCACGGGTGACTGGTAGATAGATTGAAACCTTGAAAGTTGAAAGAAGGTGCTCTAGAATTCTAGTCGTCGTTTGGGCTCTTGGACTGATTGTTAATTGACTTCCCTTCTTGAGAAATCTCACAGATCAGACGGTTTGCAGAGTTGTCTTGAAGGCTTGCGGAATGCGGAGTTGCGGTGCTTGGCGGCTTGGGCAAACGACCAGTCGGCCAAGATGGCAAGATGAACAGACAAGGCGGCTTTTGCTTCGTAACTTGATTTTGGATTTTGCCGATTTGAAAATAGGAAACATGGAAAAGATAACTTCATTAGAGCATCTCCAATGCTAGAATGTGCACGGTGCACATGTGACATGAGTGACAACCACATAAATATTAGCAAATAAATTATGTCTCTCCTTATTTGAATGATTTTATACAATTTTGGTATGTTTTTTCCCGCAATGTCAACTGCAATGTCAACATCTAGACGGTCTCCTTGACATTATGGAAAAAAATTTACCAAAAATGTATAAAATCATTCAAATAAGGAAAAAAAGAATTTATTTACTAATATTTATGTGGCTATCTCCTATCTCTTATGCCACATGTGCACCGTGCACATTGTAGCATTGGAGATGCTCTTAGTACTCCGTATTTGGGTTATTGGGAATTTGGGATGGGCCGTTTGGTAGTTTAGGAATTCAGGAATTGGGAAATTAGGGATTTAATTTGGGGATTCAGAGGGAAAATAAGTGTTTTTAAGTCAAAAGCTGAAAAGTGCTTTTTTAAAGAATTTGCAATCCAACCCTTAGTAGGATGTCACATCCCCACTTATAAAATTAAGGGAAAAGTACAGAAAACATACCTGTGGTTTGGGCCATTTTCAGATAGGGGCATGTGGTTCATTTTCTAACAAAGTGGGACATGTGTATCAATTCTGTTATCATAGCAGAGGCATGGCGTCTAACGCCGTTAGAAAAATTTAGAAGGGAATTTTAGGAGGTGTTTTTCAGAGCTCAGAAATATGTGAGTTCGTTTGTGTATATGTCTTTGTGAGGGGTTCTCTTCCGAGGCCAACAGAAAGACCCCATGAGGGGTTCTATCATGAGGCCATCAGAACACCAACGCGGTGTTTCTGTTCCGTAGGCTTCTGTCCGAGCCCTTCTTCCGCTGGGAAAAATTTAAACGTTTTGGGAAGAAAACAAAAATTAAACCGTATCTCTTGAGAGATAGATTTTTGGACGACATCCGTGTCCTAAGGTCGCTGCGCACACAAGTCGTGGTTTTTCTTCTCCGATTTCGGGATTTGATTTGCACCCCCCTGCGCGCGTGGAGAGTGCCTTTACCCTAATGAATCTTAACTCCTTAAGGGGGTTACCCTTTATAAAGGGTTGCAAATCCCTTGGGTTTTCCAGTGTGATAAATAACACACTAGAAACCCATCATTTTTCCCAGTTTTTCCATTCTAACGGGTAAACTTTGAGATTCAATTTCTCATTCACCCGTTATCCGTTTTGAACGTACCATATATCGAATTGTAGCTCTAAGCAAGGACAATCCGAAACCACTTTGACCCCACCCAAATCAAAAGTGGATCCCACTCAAAAAATTGCCCCAAAATTACCATTTAATGCAATTTTAACACATATTTCCAACAATCCTTTCCCCTCTTTTTTTCTTATTTTTTTATCCTTTTATCCTTATATATAAATATTATTTTTATCCTTTTTATTTTATCATTTATACGTATATTCATCTCTTTTACATTATCTTTTTTTTATAATAACTTATCTTTTTTATCTTTACTTTCTTTCTTTTCCCTTTGGTGATATCATATATTGATCCATGTTAGGCTACCCCAATTCTTTTGGGACTAAGCCTTGGATGTTGTTGTTATTGTTTTAGATTATTGATCTTGTACGATCCCAATTTCATTCATATCATCTCGTAATGTAATTTAATTTTAGCTTAAAGTTCTTAAACACTTCAATTGTATGTTTGTTTCTAGTGTAGGCTCAAGTTATTGCATTGATCTATCACTTAATACTTCTATTATTCTTAGTAAAGAAGTTTCCTTTTTGCCAAAAAATGTAACAAAAATGCTTGAGGTACACACTTTGTGTACACACTTTGTGTACACTCGTCTGTCTCTTAAGAAAATTTTGTCTGTCACAGACAATTCATATATGAGTTGTATGTGACAAACAAAATTTTCTTAAGAGACAGACGAGTGTACACAAAATGTGTACACAAAGTGTGTACCTCTAGCATTTCTCAAAATGTAAAGACGTAGTGAGTATATGAAAAACGTGTACTAACAAAAGGAATATTTGAAAACGTTTTTCCCGTCACAAGTCATAGACCTTTTCTCGCGGAGGAAGTGATATATTGACTATTCCAAGCAACTGGAAATCCTTGCTTTTCTTTTACGGTACGGTGTAATTCTGTTCTTATCATTTTATATTAACGATCATTGCTGGATTACTCCTTGATTAATTATGCTAATATGCTGAATCCGTAATCTGATCTATCCAGTTCCGTTTCTTCGATTCCACAGATCATCCGATTCGTCTCTCTCCGTAAGAACTCCGAATGTTTCGATCAGAGTCCCGATCTGACCATTTCGATCCGAAATTCGAATTCTGGAATCCGATCGAATCGTCCGCGATGATGAACCCGAGCTTCGTATCGAGTCCAGTTACGAACACGGCGAATAGAGTAGCGGCTAGGAGGAGGAGGAAGGAGAGGAAGCTAAGCATACTGTCGGCTGCGAAAAGTCAAGATGCGAACAGTAACAACTCCGCCGCTGATTGGAAATCGGAGACGCAAGAGCAAGTTTACTCTTCTAGGCTTCTCGGAGCTCTGCGGATGCTCCGGATAAATCCGCCGTCTCCGACGGCGCCGAAGGGCGGGAGAGCGGTTCGGGAAGCCGCGGACAAAGTTTTGGCGGTCACTGCGAAGGGGCGAACCAGGTGGAGCCGCGCGATCCTCACCAACCGCCTCAAGCTGAAGTTTATGAAGAGGCACAACAAGCGGCAGAGATTGGTGTCGGCGGCGAGAGGGAGTAATCGCCGGTGTTCGAAGAAACCGAGATTGATTATTCAGCAGCTGAAGATGAAGAATTTGCCGACTGTACAGAGGAAGGCTCGGGTATTGGGCCGGATTATACCTGGATGCCGGAAAGAGCCGCTGCCGGTGATTTTGGAAGAAGCCACCGATTATATTGCCGCTCTGGAAATGCAAGTACGAGCCATGAGCACTTTAGCCGGCCTACTTTCCGGTGCATCTTCAAGCTCAGATCCTCATCCATCTTGATCATTCCAATCCTAATTTTCTTATTTTCCAATTCCCTGTAATTCTGTAAAATACATTTTATACTTGCTGCCACTTATATATTTCCACTTATACAGTTTTAGCTTCAAAGGTACCCTAGAGGAATGCTCGGAGTGTTGGGTCTACATGATTTTAAGTACACTATTCACACACATTTTCTGCCTATATATAAACAATTATGTTCAAATGGTGCACCAAGCATTTCTATTATCTTCTAATACACACCTTGTTAGCGGACAGTAATTCCTCTAATTACATTATGATTTGTATGAACAGCTATAGCGATACAAGGCGTGTTCAATTTTTCACGTTTTGTTTTGACTGATTTTTTGACGATTTAATCACGATCTATTAGGTACCGTCCAATGCCATTAGGATTAATAAAGCGGTAGATCTAATAATAGGCAGAGGTAGAACTTAGAATTTGTGGAGAAAAAAAGGTTTGAGACATTTAATGGGTTGTTGGCAGATGGAAGTTCAATGGCTGGTCATTTGTTGCCTATGAGTAAAGACACGTATCTGTGTGAAAATTGGGCTGAATGTTGATGGGCCGATTCAATGAAATCAAGCTAAAATTATGGTTGATCATTTAATCAACCATTCTTTGTTGATTTGTCTAAAATTGAGCATGCCCCATAAAATCACACGGTATACTTATGTAGTTATGTGCAGATATTTTTATTACTCCTTAATAATTAAGGCCGAGATTGAAAGTATTTATAGGTCTTAATTAGTATTTTTTTAATTTTTTATTGAAATATCCACTCTCATATATTTGCACACCCTCTAATCTGATATATCTTCTATTCTAATATAAAAGAAAAAGAATTCTCAGTGAGGAAGTTGCCGCTCAAAAGTGTCAACATCAAGAGAAATAGTATAATAAAAAAAAGAAATCCCAAAAAATACAATTTTCATGGACTGAAGTAGATGATATGTAGGTTTGGGAAGAATGATTGTACGGAGTACTTTTTAAATGGGCACAGTGTTCCTGCCAACTTCTTCCATTACTTTTTCGTGTACGGACTCAACTAGCATTTTCTTAATATTCAAGTATTGTTTAATAATGACTAGATAACACCCTTTCACATATTTGCACCCTCCCTGATTTGCTATTTACAATTTACATGGGCAATTCGTGTAAACAATGCAATTCGTATAAATGCATAGTCACCCTATTACTTGAGATGTTTTTACTTGGATGATTTATACTCCCTCCGTCCCATTTATTTTGTCCCGTTTTACCTTTTTGGGAAGTCCCACTTATATTGTCCCATACCATATTTGGCAATGTTTGTGTGGTTCTAAATCATTTTTACTTTATTCTTACTTTATCAATTAATATCAACCACACAAACCCACTTTTCTTAATAACCGTGTCACCCTCTTCCGGGACAATATAAATGGGACGGAGGGAGTATATTTTAGTCTTGAACCAAATCAGACTAGATCGTACTTTGATATTAGAAATAGTATAAGCACATATTTTCTCACAAATTTAGATTCAAGAATAGTTTAAGAATGGCATAACTCATTTTCACATATTTGCACTCCCTTATTTTACCTTTATAGAGAAACGATTCATCTAAAAAGCAATTCGTGAAAATTTATAGTCACTTTATTACTTAATCATTATAAATAATTTACCTTCAATAATATATATAAACCTTTGAAAATGGAAAAGTTCTTTGTCAATATCATTTAATAGGTTTGTGCGAGATAAAAGATGTTAATTCATAAGCATTCATTCACATGTTAGTAGTCATTGTTGCTTTTTTAGTCATATTCAACTTTATGTGGTCGGATCAATAGTAACCAATTAACGAGCGTAAAAAAAATCACATTCCAAATGAGGACATGGGAATGAACATTGAAACCGAGAATGTTGTGTATGAAAAGTGTTTCAAATCATTTAGCATGAAATGCAATGTATTTTCAAATTTTATTTATAATGTGTGCAGTGATACCTACTATAAAAACTTTATATAGCATAACTCCAGACAATTCAATTAAAATTACAAGTTTATTTTATTCAAGTTAAATTTGATTAAAATTAACTACACCTATGGAATTTCACCAACCATGCATTGCACGAGTGTTCAACGCAAATCCTCTAACGTGAGACTCTTTCAATGGTATGTATTATGTAGTTATATACATTTTTTAGGAAAATTCACCAACCGTATGTAGTTATGTATTAGTGAGCACAAATAAATTTGAAGAAAAATTTTCCGATCGTGCATCGCACAGGTGAGTTTAATGACAATAAAGAAAAGAGAAGCTGAAAAGTTCTCCTATTTAGATTTTGGACCACCTGAGGTGATATAGGGTACAATGTAAAATTTCCATTAGTTTCTTCGAAGAATATCTGTGGTATTCTAGAATGGAATCATTATTGTTTCTTAATTAGTTTGGCAAAGTTTTATCGAAAATGACTTGATACCATATCGGCAGATTTTTCTCAACAAATTAAAGCATTTTCCTACGGAGTATTAGTTATATGAGTAGATGTTCTCCTAAAGTTGCTACCGATAGACCCCACCAGACACATTTGCATGATATATTATGCGTCAAAAAATTAAAAGGTACAGTATAAATTTAATGAAAAAATGGATTTATGAGGTTGATCTTGAATTGATAATAAGGCTAAAGTAAAAATGTTTCATAATCTCACACACACACACAAAATTTACCAATTTTGATATGAGATAATATTAGTGGGACAAATCGAAAATAAAAAAATGAGACAATATTAACTGAACGGGAAGAGTAATAAAATACTACGTACTAATAGCGTGTTATTATTACACAATAATTACACATAGGTCCTTAATACTAATAATAATAGGGTTAATTATCTGTTTAGGACTAAAAGAGGACCGATGTTCACATATAGGACCAAAAAACAAAAGTATGTTTCATAGGACATATAATCACCTGCTTGGACAAAAATGCCCCCATTAAATTATTCTTTGAATTTATAAATAAAAATCTAATGAAACCTAATTCTCAACATGAGCAGTTCCCCGAACTTCGGTGCTGCTACAGCCTGCCCACCGCCTCCTCGACGCCGCCTGCCACCATCTCACCGGTGCCTTCTGCCGCCGTCTCGCCGGCGCCGCCTGCCGCCGTCTCTCCGGTGCCACCCTCGCTAGTACTGTCTTCCTCCAGCCTCACCGCCGCATCCAAACTAGTGTGACCATTCTTTGCCGCCCACCTGCCACCACCACCACCACCATCCTCCGAGCACCACCATTGTGAACTCCAGGGCCGCCACATCACCTCCGGGCACGACCGCCACCGTCACAACTCCAATGCCGGCAACTTCCAAATGTTTGGCATATTTAGTCTAAATTAATTTCAAATCTGCCATGAACATGGATTTTGAATTTGCCACATATTTGGCAGATTTATCTTGGAATAATAATTGAAAACTGCCATAAATTTGGCAAAAACATGAAAGGAATTAGCAAATGTTCGAAAAAAATTAATGGAATAAAAACTCTAATAGAATCAGAAACACGAAGTAAAAGGAAAAAAATTAGAAAAGCCGATTTACTCAAAAACTATTTCTGCCATAATCCGATTGTCATTATACATTATTTCTGCCACAAACTTGGCAAAATTCTATGCCATCATCCAAAAATCTGGAAAATAAAAAATGTTTAAATACTCAGAAATCAAAATACGAAAAATATAAATTTGAAAATTGACAAAATCAATGTAAAAATTATCCAAAAAATCAGAGGAATGTAAATTACCCTAAAAATCATAGAAATACCAAGAAAAAAAAGAAGAAGGTGAAGAGGAGGAGGAAGATGAAGAAGAAGAGAAGAAGAAGAAGATAAAAACCTGAAATATGGAAGAAGATGATTTGGAACTTGGAAGGGAGAAGATGATTTGCAGAGGTGGTGAAGGTGGAGGCAGCGGAGGTGGCGTGCGATGGCCTGCAGCGAAATCACGGATCTGGAAGGGAGAAGACGATTTGCAGAGTAGATCGGTGAAGATGAGTGCGGTTTTTGAGCCTAGAGAAGTGTGATCCATTTGTGGGGAGAGATAGTGAGAGAGAAGAATAAATAACTGCAGGGGTAAAAATGCGATGCCAAATTCTCTATGTTTCATAATAGGAGTAAATTGGTCCTATTTTGGAATAAAAACATAAGCAGTCCTATTTTTGAGTTTTACCTTACTTTTACTCCTATTTGGAGTAATTTCTCATAATAATAATAATAATAATAATAATAATAATAATAATAATAATAATAATAACGCGCTATTACGTACATGTTATACAAAAACCACTTCATATAAGACTGAATTTAAAGTATACGACCAATTATATTCTTACTATTATTGTAGCGAATTAGATTTAAAGAGGCCAATCTAGATTATACTTAAGTAGACCGGTATTTAATATTATCACATGTCAAGCAACTTGTGGTTCGACACTTTGAAGAAGGATGTCACAGGTTCAAAACTCATTCTAGTCAGTAATGTTGACATTTAACAATGAAGTATTGAACAAATACTATAAGAGACTAAAAAGTCTAGCAAAAAAATTATCACATACTACGTATAAAATTCAGTTCGAATAGAAACATGTATAATTTAATACTTTATAATTTAGTGTTGTTTTGTGCATGTAGAATATATCACTTTGTTGGGTTTGAATCAAACGTTCTTCTACCTAATTTTTCATATGCTCCCTCCGTCCCAATTTGTTTTGCAATGTTAACATTTTTTGGTCAACTAATAATAAAAGTCAATCCTCCTTATCAATAATTAACTCAACTTTTAATAATTAAAATGTACATATTCAGAAATTAACTACATTAAAATCTTTTCAAAGTTGCACACTCTAAATTAGAATATAATTAAAAATTGACATCCTAATTAAGCAAATAAAATGAAACTATTTGATCAATAAAAGTAAAATTTGCAAATCAATTTGGAATGGAGATGACAATTATCTCATATCAAAATTGGTAAATTTTGTGTGATTCTGGCAATGACATTTTGTAAAGTTTGATGTACATTTACATATTAGCATCCGCCACATTTTTTAAAGTGTTGATAACACATGGTCCGTTTTTAAAAACAATCTCGATTCATATTTTGATTTCAGATTATTTTGTTAAATAATCTCTACTCATGTCCCTAAAAATAGCATATCACATCATCAGGTTGATCCCGGAAAACTTTGATGAATGGAAATGACCTAATATAAGTGGGATTTCAAATGTATATAACCCGGCACGTAAGAACACTCACTGAACAAATCGTATTTGGAT